AGCATTCTTTGTGCCCAAAGAATCTTTATGTGTTCTATATTCTATACTCTATCTTTTAAAAAAAACACTAACCATAAATAAATAAAATTCACCCTGTCAAAGTGCCAATTGAAACTTTCCTGTCAGTAAATATTTCACTCTGATGTCTTTATCTGTAAAATACCTGGAAAATTATCTTGGTAATTTATCATTATCTTATGAGCATAAATAAATAGAATTCACCCTGGAAGTTAAAACTTTCCTGTCAGTAATTAAGGTATAATTATTTTGTACCTTGAAGACAAACAGTGGAGAATGTTTTACTTCAACACCCAAAAGTGTTATTAATAAAGTTATTAATTCAAATCTCTAGAAGAGAGATTTGAATTAATGTGTGTATATGTATGCACTCACAAACAAATATGAAACTGAGATCTGGATATGAATTAAGGATTCATTGTATGTACTAGGAGCTTCACAAAATAATCTGTCTTTCTTCCCATTCTACATAGTTGAAGACTGTGTGACACCAAGTGCGTTATGACACTAAGAGTGTTATCATTGATAGACATGTGCCATACAATAGCATTAGCCCAAATAAGGTTAGCTGTGCAAAGCATTCTAATATCAGCTATTTTTAATATAAAAATAGTTTTATTGCTCCCAGGGCTCATTTTAAGCTTGTAGCACTCTCAATTAGAGCAGTAAAAATGATTGAATTTGTCCTTCAGTGACTTAGAACAGGTGGTGGTGATTATTATTCCATTCAGAATGTTACATGATTTGGATAATGTAATATTTATTTTGACAATTCCCTTTTCCCTTAACATGCAATACTTGAGATTTAAATAGAGAGTCTCTGTCTTTCAGCATAAATATTATGTTTTATGTTGTATGTGAAGGTCAGAATCTTCAATTCTAAAACCTCAAACACATTTTAGTAATTACGTGTTCTCATAGTATGACACACACTTTCATTGTGGTAAACAACATTTATCTTGTCAAGTAACAGGTGCCCAATAGCATGCAAATGTATTAAGCATCTGTAATAGAAAATGCTATTTCAGTGGAATGTAAGTGACATTGCAGAGAGGAAAATATAGCATTATAGTTGCAGAGGGATTACTCAAAACTCAATAAATAGTGTATGTAGCAGAGAACATTGATTTTTATTTCTTGATATATGCTGTTTACTGAGCAGAAAGATTCATTTCCAGACAGCAGTTGTCAAATAAGCAAACCAAATACAAAGTGAAATATTTATACAGAGATCTTCCTTTTCCAATCTTAGAAATGTAAAAACCAGACCTTCTCCCCACCTGTTCTTCATTGGGCCTAGGCTCTCTTTTACCTTGTGATGTTTTGCTACACAGTAAGAGTGATAACTGATGACAATTTTAGGCTTGAAAAGCGGACTTGAAAAATTTGGCTATCGTGGCATTTCAAGATGGAGATATTCTACTCCAAACTATGTTCGTAAATCTCTTCATAAGGAAAACATGAAATTGTCCTGTGTAGGCTGTTGTTGTTATTACTATTATTATTGGAAATGATAAGTAAGTCTAACTGTGGCTTATGTTTAGCATATCTAGAGAGATAAATAATAGTTTCAGAGATTGATTTTTGGAATTTCCTTCTCTAATTACCGCTGTATGTCAAGCTTTGATAATTCAGCTTCCTTGTATGGAAGGAAATTACTTCCTAAATGTTTGCTTGCTGTGTATGTCCTTTTCTCTCTTATGTTTCCTATCAGTTGCCTGTTGTTTTAAAGGATCTGGGGCTTAACTAACAAGATTTGTAATTTAGTGCTGCTGCTAATATTAAATTGCAAGATGGTATCCAGCATGCAGCTGCTGCCATATCTAGCTCTTCCTTATTTTTTTAGCCTTGTATTATTTTTATTAATTTTACCTGTTATTGTACTACTGCTTTACTGTTTTATACATCACTCCCTGTTTCATCTGTTTTCTTAGGTTATTTTCTGGACGAATTTGCAGGATTAGTCAGGATTGGGTATTATGATGTCCGATTGGCCTGGAGACAGAGTTAAAACTGAAGCCACACCTCTGTGCTCCTTGCTTCTGGTTTCCAGTTTCAACTCTGTCTGGCCGAAGGACAAATTGCTTTTGGTTTCAGAGATGCCCAAACACAATCCAGTCCCATCCTGCAATTTCTTCCTACCTGCCTTCCCCCTTTTGCCTCCATCTGCTTCCTGGAAGCCTCCCCTTGGTGTGGCTCGCTCCCGACTGCCGGTAAGGGTTTTGAAAATTGTTTGTTGGGGCTATTAGAGGTTGGATGCCATTCCGATGTCCATTTTGGGCCTCACGTTCCAGTGGGCCGCATGGGCTGAGGCAGAGACTGCTACGGAGCCTCGATCTCATACCTGCGATCCCGGGGGGAAATCCCTTCTACAGCTGTGGCAAGGCCCTGCGGACCCAGGGCGAGGCCAGGAGGCCCGGAGCGGCGCGGGATGTCAAGTATTGTGCGCCATGCTGCGTGGTGCTGCTGGCCACCGCACGCCTTGGAAAGGGGCTGGAAAGATCTACCAGCAGCTGCGATCATCACACGGAGGCTGTGAGTGATTGGGGGAAACTGTTTTTTGCTGCTGGTAGGGTGGACTGAGCCCGAAGGAGGCCCGACCTGGTACCATGGCGAATGGAGAAGAGAGGCCTGATTCCCCCCATTGTCCCCTGGGGAGGGGCCTTTCAGTGGGGCTCAAGAAAGGCCCATAGCCTATGCAAGGCTGCACAAGACCATGGCTGCTGGGAAGCCTTCCAAGGCTTTACAGAGGGATGAAGAGGGGAGGCACAGGGCCTGGAAAAGCAGGTGTCCAGGGCTGAACAGAGGAGTAGGCCTAGTTCTCCCCTGAGTTCCAGATCACCTATTAGATCAAGGTCTAGGACTCCTCCCAGGGGGGATTCCCCTTTATATGCTAGGGAACATATCCCCTTCCCGCCTCCATGGTAGAACAGGCCCCCTATCTGAGGGATCCTTTTCAATGCAGGGGGGATAGCCCCATTAGGCCATCCTTGGCTCCACAGACCGATGACTGTGAACAGCCTGGGGAGGAGGATTCCTTCATTAGAGACATGGAGCAGCTTCCTGCAAGCATTGAGAGGTTTATTTCCTCTGCAATTTCACATGGAATTGTTACTGGATTGCAGGAGTGGATTGCAAGCCCTGCAACTGTGGCAAAGGTCACTGGAGAGGGGGAAACACTGCTCAGGCCAGGCCTAGACCCTCCCCCTCAGGAGTGCACTGAACAAATTTCGCCTTCTCTGGCTAGCTAAGGTTCTATGGCTGGGGATCAAGTTCAGAGAGAAGTCGATATGTCCGATGATGAGGATCCCTCAAAGCCTGAAGCACCATCATTCTCAGGCTTGTTTCCCCCAGATTTGTTCAAATCTCTGCTGCACAAGGCTAGGGCCACAGCACAGCTGGGTGAGACGGAGAGTGCCAAGGAAGGTGGCCCGGAAACGAAACCGGAGGGCCGGGTTTACTCAGAGCCTCCTCCAGCGAAGGAGGAAATCCCTGCCCCTAAGCTATTCTTGGAAGTAGTTAAGAAGCAGTGGGAAAAGCCAGGGACATTTCTTAACCCTAGTAGCAGTGATAGGAGATTCTTTAACACAGAGCCTAGTTTTTCTGAGGCTTTGCAGGGGCCCACAATTGACCCTCCAGTGGTGGCCTTGGCTTCTACGTCTACGGTGTTGTCCAGCGATGTGGCTGACTACTTGAAGACTGATGACAAGAAGGTGGAGCTGACTCTTCACAAAACATTCCAGTCTTCCGCATGGGCCATAAAGGCAGCTGCCTAACAGACGTGGTGGCTCAGTGGCTAAGATACTAAGCTTATCGTTCAGAAAGGTTGGCAGTTTGAATCCCTAGCGCCGCATAACGGAGTGAGCGCCCGTTAATTTGTCTCAGCTTCTGCCAACCTAACAGTTCAAAAGCATGTAAAAATGTAATTAGAAAAATAGGAACCACCTTTGGGGGAAAGGTAACAGTGTTCCCTATGCCTTTGGCGTTTAGTCATGCCAGCCACATGATCACGGACACTGCTAGCTCTTTGGCTTTGAAACGGAGATGAGCACCACCCCCTAGAGTAAGGAACGATTAGCACCTATGTGCGAGGCAAACTTTACCTTTACCTTTACTATCAATTGATAATGTTCCCTGTGCTCCTGTGTTGCATGAAACCTTGATAAAAAGTCATTAAATGAGTATAGCAGTCAGACTGTTTATTTCAACGGGATTTGGAAGCCCATACTATAGTGTGAAATCTTAAATGCATTGTTGTTAATTACTGATGTAAGTGAACCATTTGCTATTTTTCCAGAAACTATGCTGAATACTAGAAGTTTAAATCAATAAATATTTACTTCAGTATATACTGCTGAAATGGACAACTGTAAGAAAACATTGAATAGCCCAAGCAACACATTCGCGAGTTGAAAAAGTTGTTGGTATTGTGTTGGAGTATCAAAAATAGTCCTGTGCTTTTTAATCTTTAACTTTTGTCAGTGGAATTATATGTCTCCTACAAAAACTGATTAGTATACCAGGAACTGATTAGTACACCAGGAAATGATTAGTATACCAGGAACAGCATTATAGTGAGAAAATCGAGTGGGCATGATATAGAAATCTCTTATTATACCTGATACTATTTTGTATTGATTTGTAAGTGTTCCTCATTATTTTTTATACTTGTATAGTAAAAGTATTAAATGTATGCAAACAGTATGTGAATGCAACCAATGGATTACTAGCGTATTTTTTAAAAATCCATTGGTTATTTTGAAAAGTCCAGATGTAATAAAATAAAAATGAACAAATATAAAAATCATATATTAAATTTACTTTCAGTTTCAAATACAAATGATAGTAAGAATGGAATGGAGAGGAGAGTTCAGTGATTCTCAACCTGTGGTCTGTATACCTCTAGGGGCTGTAATGTCATCACAGGGAAATGTTATGATTTAAATCTTGAGTTATATCTTGGTGGTCTGTGGCCATGGTCCATGACCACAAAAGGTATTTAAAGTGATCTTGTGGTAAAGAAAAGGTTGAGCATCACTGATATACATTATTTGGCTAAGTGTGATTAGATCAGAGGTGGGTTCCTGGCAGTTCTAACCTCTTTTATAGAAGAGGTTTCACAAATCTATCGTGCCGTTTAGAACCGGTTCCAGCTCCCTCCCCCTGCCCGTCCACACCACACTTGCCCCACCTGCCACTCACTGATTGGCTGGCTCACCAATTGCCCTGCCCACCTCTAAAAGTCCTATCTAAATCTTAAAGTCTTAAAGCTGTCAAATTTGAACACCCCTGGGGGTTTTTTTCTAAAGGGTTAGGAGTGCAAGGGTCTTGTAACTTGACAGCTTTAAGACTTGCGTGCTTCAAATGCCAGAGTTTCTGAGCCAACACTTTGGTTGCTAAGCAAGAGCGTTGTTAAGTGAGTTTCACCACATTTTACAATTTGGCCACGCTCACCCAGTCAAATGGCTGGCAA